AGCTTAAAATTTGTTCATGTAGCGACTCTAGTTAGGGAGATATGCGGGAACGGCACAAGAGAGTTANTGTAGAATGTGGTCTCAATTGATGCATAAGAAATTTGTCTTCACTTTCCTTTCCTTGTTGCATTGGGAGACAGTTCTGTATATCTCGATATTTGCCTCTGAATCTGATTGATTTAGCATCATCCATAGCTCAACTGATAGACGCTAATCTCGTTTTGATGCAAGTAGTAAGGTGTGACTCAAGCTCTTTAGGCAATCCAATACAATCCTTAGATTGAAGAGTAGTAGATAGAGTCTTTGTATGAATTGCTTCGTATGTGACTTTTACTTGCATTTGTGTGTTGCAGTTTGATGTTTCCAAAAACAGTTCTTTTCCTCCCTTTTTCACACATTGGTTGTTCAACACACATTGGTTGTTCAACACACATTATGCGATCCTATGCAACTGAAAACAGAAAAAAAGATAGTGAGCAAAACATTTATTCCAATACAACGGAGGGACTTAAAACAAACCAAACCCAACATAGAAAAAGCAAATGCATAGTGGCGAATCTTTTCTTCAATCATTTTGTCTTTGTTCTTGCATGCTTTGCTAGTGGAGAACTTTCTCTTACGTTTATGCATATGCATGTTCTTAGTGAGCAAGGTTCATTACTCACTCCTAAGATACCTAGAAATTATACGTTTGATTCAAGTCCATAATCTTAAAGATTACAGAAAAAAGTAAGATACTTTACCTACCCACACTCAACACTTGATTGCACACAATTTGTACACAATTAGTTCTTAAACCATGAGCTATCTTGTACAAGAATGTAGTTCGCTCCTCATTGTTGGTTGTTTGATTGGATGTGGACATCTCGTTGTGTCCAAACACAATGTAAAGAGCTGCAAACTGTGGAAGCTTAACTGTAGTACCGAGGCATTTCCAAGTCATTTTGCATGAACACTGGTAAGGGGTATTATACTGAAAGGTTTCTTCTTATCTTCACAATCAGTCTCAATCCTGTATTCTAGATATTTGATGAATTCCAACCCCGGGCAAGCAAATCCGACGTTGGCATAAACGAGCTTCTCCTTCTTTTCTCTCTTGTAGCAGCTGCAAAAGAGAAGATATATATTCCTTGACCCGATAAATTGCAATCACCTTTGTCTGCCGCATCTCTTATCTTATCAAACTTTTCAGAGCACAAATTTTATTGATTTAAAGA